AGGGCTGCAGCCCGGGGCACGCGGGTCTGGCCCTGCCCTGGGTGCCTTTCGCAGTAAAACAAAGGTTTTATTCAGCAAGGTGCAAGGTCAGCTTCCAGATACAAGTTTAGAGGTAGAAGACTACCACTGAAAGACGGAAATTCGATTACAGATGAGATGGCTGTCTGCTCAGCCATGCTGGCCAAGGACTTCCCCCAACCTGGGACTCCAGTCGCAGCGATGACCCCATTTGTTGCCCCCAGCAGCCCCAAACGCAGCGTGCCAGTGGTGCAACGGTCCCTGATGCTCCTCGAGTCCTTGCGCAGAGCGTGTCCGCAGCTCAGGTGGCCTCTGCTGTCACCTCGGGTGGCTCAAGGTGGTTTCTCCACAACGAGACATCACCCGTTCGGTTACGAGTCCTTTCAAGGAGGGGATGCTACAGGGGTTAGAGGCTCTTTCTCTCTGCTCTGGGGACAACCAGCCTGGACTGTCCCTATCACTAGGACCCACATTTTGATGGGCTTATTGCTGGCATGAGACAGCTTTCTGTGGGCATCACACGAGACATTACGTAGATGACAGGCTCGGTAACAACTGGATTTTTGATACCTTTGTGACAAATGGTTCCCTCATTCCCAGGAGCTTTTAGATGGACTCCCATCTGCAAAGCGAGGCAGACGCTGCCTCCTTCCACCTGCTGCCCCTCACTGCCCAGGCACGACCAAGGGTGCAGGTCTCAGTCCATTCCTGTGTTTCAGCAGAAGCCAGAACCTTCAGCTCAGGGCTTCCCTGCTTTTTTTTTTTTTCTCCTTTGCTCCTACCTCCTCCACGCATCGGCTGCCACGGAAGAAAAAAATTGCAGCAAAAAAAAGTTCTTCACTAGGTTACAGGTCTGGTGTGCTGCTGACTGCTGACTGCCCATCATCGGTCTCATCCGGGGGACATCTGGATAGGGACAGACACCAGGCTGAGTCCCACAGGGAGGGAGCAGAGCTCAGGATGATGGAGGCTGAGACCAGGTGGGGCTCAGGGGACAGAGCTGGGAGCACACGCTCATGTGGGCAGCAGAAAGCCAAAGCTCACCTTTGCCACCACCGCTGCCACAATCCCCATCAAGTCCCACTTGGCCCTTGTTAAACTGCTTCAAGAGGAAGAACTTGGCCCAATCCACCTTCTTCTGGCTGCCAGGTGGGTACTGGAGTTTGTACCTTCCATTTCAGGTCCTTGATCAAGCAGGCGCGGCAGTGGAAGGTGGTCTTGAAGCTGTGCTTGCCATGGTAGGTGCCCATCCCGCTGTTCCCTGAGGGACACAATCCAGGCAGGGCAGGTCACATCGTGCACAGTGACAGTTGCATTTCTTAAATTCTGTTTGGTGGCCCCCAGGACACAGGGAAAGCTTGGTGATGGTGCTTCTCACACTTGGAGCAGCTGCTCTGCACCTCCCAAGGCAGAGGGGCAAAGAGCAGCTTTAATAACTACTCAGACACAAGTGAGGACCTGCTCGCGGCCTTGAACCTGTGCTCAGACCGGTTGGGTGCACCCACCCTTGAAACGTTAACGGCACCAGTCCTCTCCTCCCCAGGGCCAGTCTTGCTTTTCCCACAAAATTTACAATTGGGTCAGAGACAGGAGGAACAGGGTCTGTTATTCCAAGCAGTGGGATGTAAGGAGGACATTCAGCAACCTGCCATCAGAAAACACTCAAGACCTCAGCCCTTGACCCACAGCCAGGTTGTCTCTGCCACAAAGCCACAAACCTGACAGTGATCGTGGAAAATCAACCAGCCGCTCAGTCCCAGGCAAATTCATCCCACATCCCAGCATAGAAGAACTGGAGCTGCAGACAGATGTGCCAGAAGGTTTTCCTCTCCCACTGGCATCAACACTGCTCCAACAACTAATGAGCCTTTTTACAAAAAGAACCCACCAGTGAAAATAGTATTAATAGGAAAACGCAGCTGAAAGGTCTTGAAATGACCCAAACATAATGGCACCTGGGACAGAGGCTGCTGCTGGGAGACTGAAACCAGGAGCATGGGATGGAGCAAGGACTTACAAACGCCACCGAAGGGCAGATCCAAAACCAAAGAGTGCGTGAAGATGTCGTTGGCCATCACACCACTGCTGGAGGTCTCTGACCTATCTGATCAGCTATCAGAACTACTCAGAGCTCCCAGAGAGATGGCACAGAACAGCAGGAAATCAAGATGGGCCACCGATACCGTGGCATTTAGCAGAGCAGGTGGGCGTCAAGGTGTCACATCCCCCTTTGTGGGGAGAGACAGGCTGGAACACAAAATGAAACGGTCCTTGCAACCATTAAAATCTGCCCTCCCTGCCCACCACCGCAGCTGTGTGACGCGGCCCCGATCCCGGCCAAGAAAGCAGATGACTCATTAAAAAACGAAGGAAAAAAGAAAGTTACCTTCAGAGCAGCTTCTCTCTCCACCAGTCTCCCCCGGCAAGCGCAAGCCGGCACAAGCCTTTCCGCTGAGATGGCTCAGAGCGCTCTCCTCCCACGAGGGGATGGCTGGCCCGGGCCCAGGGCTCCGGCTGGATACACAACACCCTTCACCCGGATACATCCCCGCGCCGCGAATACGCACGCCCCGGATCGCAGCTGACTCAGCTGCCCGTGTGGGATTGCGAGACACCACGTGGCTCTGCCCGTGTCAGGGGCACAAGGCCGGCAGGGCGATGTCAACGTGCCATCAGGAGCCAACGAACGCAGCCCGTGCTATCATCCGGACGGGAACAAACCTCCGACTGGCAGCGCTGCAGTGGGAGGCAATCAGGGGGCGGATTGGCACAGGACAGGAGGAGAAATTCCAGCTCCTCCACAGCTCCAGCATCACCTTGCTCCAGGTCCCGCCTGCCTCTGGCCGCCTCTCTGGCAGCCTGCCTGAGCTCCCTGCCACAGCTCGGGGGGATGTTCCCCACGAGCAGGGAGGTCATCACACTGGGGCCCCGTGCTCCAGCACCGGGGCAGGGGCACCTCAACATGCGTGTGACGTTCGGCCAAGTCGTGGCCAGAGCCAGAGGACGGGCAGGATTTTCCAGGAGACTGCAGGGACTTCACCACGCTCAGTTTATTATTTAAATCTCAGTGTTTATTTAGTACTTGCAAAATATATCATTAAAAAGGCTTAGCACATGGATTTTCACCAGTCATGAAGAAATCCCACCTATTGCACAGTAAATATAATTTTCTGCTCTATAGTGAGTAACTGCATTTAATAATAATTTTTAGATTTACCTTATTTAAACATTAATAGTTCTATGGTCCTTTCACTTTAAACTTCTCCAGCATCCTCTCCCCAAGCTAGAACAAGCCCCACATTATCTTCCAGTGCAAGATTATAGCAGACCCAGAGCCTGAACACAGTGCGGGTGTCATCTTTGTAATTTTCTAACTGCCAAATAATTGTTCCAGACACACAATGAAACCCAGAGCCCCAAAAAGGCTGCCAGCCTGCATCACCCGACCAGCTGTGGACACTTCTGGCTCACAGGGGTCCACGAATAATTCACCTCCATTAAAGTGGGAACCTCATTGGGTTTATTCATAACCAGCACTGTTGGTAAAACGAATCAGCCAGAACAGCCTGTCTCAGACTCGTCACCAAGAGGACGGTTGTTTGAAGCACAACGGAAGACAGACCATCCCAAAAACTGCAGGGAAAACACTGTCCACGCGACCACAGCTGAAGGTTAAGCTCCTGTTTGTCACTGAAGGAAGGTAAGGTTTGGTGTGAGACACAGTGTGCAGGTCCCTGGGAGCAGCGCTCCGCGTGGCACGGGGTGGAGGTAGGGACTGGTGTTTCTTGCTCTGCAGTCCTCCTTCTGAGAGCTTGTACCCACTGAACAGGAGTCCGAGCCTTCCCTTGGTTAGTGCCTCTCTAAGGCTGCTCGGTGTGCTCGACAGCTCACTGAAATAACCCAGTACAAAAGAAAAAATGACTTCTCAGCTTAAGGAAACAGACACAAAGCGAGCACCCAGAGTATGACTTGCACATGGCGCCTCCTCCTCTCTTCAGTAGTAAACCATCTGCGAAAGCAAAACACAACACCAACGTCCTGTGAAGGGTTTGCTGAGAAACAAAACCGATTCCCTTTCTAGAACAGCCTGAAGCAAAGCCCCTTCACTCAGGGCAACCTCCCCGGGGTCCGGCTCGCCTGCCTCCTGCCCCCTCGGCATGCACTGACTGCTCCTTATCTTGGACACTACGAGCTCCGAGCATGGCCGGGGAAAGCACCATGCTCCGGCTCCAGGGGGAACCTTCTCCATGCCCCACATTCACTACTCCAACATAAAGCTTCGCCCGAGCTCAAACAAGGTCTACACACAGGAGAAGAAAAAGGCTCCTACCTCACCGCGACAGCCACAGCAGTGCTCTGAAACCTGCTCCTCCTTACCACACACTGGGCCAGCCCAGCCTCTGAACGGCCAGCACAATCAAGAGGGCTTTTCTCTTCAGCACAGACTGGTGATTCTGAGAAAACCCAAATGATTTCGAGATGCTGTGAGTTTCCCCCCGTCGCTGAGAAGGTGTTCACCTAGACAGGGCCTGCTTCCCTGGCTGGTGCTTCAAGGTCTGAGCCAGTTGTTGGCTCTTACACCTCCTCCTGGACTCAGACACGCAGGCAGGTCATCTCCCCCTGCATGTTGGGCTCCTGCACATCTCCTTGCAGCAGGAGCAACACAGAACAGACTGAAGAGCAGAGTCCTGGCCCACCCTGCTGCCTCCTGTCCGCCCAGGATGCACAGCTGAGCCTTGCAGGGAGCAGCCAGTGCAGACACACGTAGTGCCTTGGTCTGCCCACCACTGAGAACCAACAGTGATCACACCTGCACTTTCAGATCTTACCCCTCCACCTCAGGAGGCATCTCCAGCATGCGCCAGCAGGCTTCTGCCTCCTGCAGAGAGGGGAGCACATCCCACCCTTCCACACTACCCAGCTGGAAACAGGGAAAGATATAGAAATAATTGAGCTAAGATCAGATGGGGGCTGCAACTGGGCAAGGAGTAAGAGCTCGTTGTAGCCCTAGGCTTTTGGCCACAGCCTCCCTTTGCCAAGGCCCCGTGGCACAAAACCGCAGCCGGCTGGGCCAGGCTGTGGAGCAGCTCCCAACATCGCTGAAGCAAGCCTGGGAGTCAAAATCACTCTAAAGAGACCCGTCCAAAACGTACCAACCTCTGCCTCTGCAGGGAGCTTCTCATGGGAGTCACCCACCAAGGCAGGGCAACAAACAGTAGGAGACTTCTTGGAGGACGTTTCTATTCTAGATAGCACTTGCAAGAGCGAGAAGCAGACCTTGGTGCTTTCAGGTGGGACAGATATCATAAGTCTCAAGACAGAAAAAACCGGCCAGGCTCTAAGAAAGGACTGCAGTCGTAAAGAGGGAACTTGCAGAAGATCAGAGGAATTACACATGCACTCACGTAGATGGCAAAGAGCCAAAGCTCACCTTTGCCACCACTGCTGCCACAATCCCCAGCAGGGCTAAGATGACCAGTCCCACTCGGCCCTTGTTAAACCGCTTCAAGAGGAAGAACTTGGCCCAATCCACCTTCTTCTGGCTGCCAGGTGGGTACCGGAGTTTGTTCGTACCCTCCATCTTCAGGTCCTTGATCAGGCAGGAGCGGTGGTGGGAGAAGGTCTCGAAGCTGTGCTTGCCGTGGTAGGCGCCCATCCCGCTGTTCCCTGAGGGACACAACCCAGGCAGGGCAGGTCACACCACAGGCTCAGCCAGTCAAACCTTTGGCCACTTGAGGCCACCAGCAGGGCAAGAAGCAGTACAGGAAAATTCCACTTGCTTGCCAGCTGCAGTGCACGTTACCTGCCCTGCATCAGCCTTGCTGCAGTTTAAAAGTGTAACTTCTCCTCTATATTCCTGCAGAGGGGACAACTGTTATTTCCTCTCTGCAGCACTTCTCAGTCTCTAAGATGTCCACCTGTACTCCAGCCCTCTTCTTTGCCACCTCATTTTCACTACACACTCTCCAGTACTTTGTTGTGTCCCTGTGTGCGCTGCTCCCTGTGCCTCTGAGTGGTTTCCAGCTCTTCCCTGGATTTAGTTCCCTGTCAAAGCACCATCCCAAGGCTCTGAGATCCCACCAGTTCTGTGTGAGAAGGCTTTCCTGAGGAGCCTGCAGGGTACACCTCTGTTTTTCAACTCCAGGACAGTGTGTGCTGTTCACAGCAGCAGAAACTGCTTGTGAGCACTGCAACACCCAAAGCCTCTTCTGCAAAGCTCCCATAGGCTGTTCCGAAACCTGTTCCAATTCTCCCCAAGCTGAAGTCCTACACTTCCTCCTGCAATTACTGCTAATCACTCTGATGTTTTTAAGGCAACTTTCACATCAGCCTGCAGTAAATGCTTCAGGCTTCCCAAAAACACACCCAAAGGTTTTTCCCTTTTAGTCCTAATGTACTCCTAGAATTTCTTACTGAGATGTGCTATCCAGAGACCCTTCAGCTGTGAGAGCAGCAGAGGTACCTGGACACAAACCAACTGCTGCTGTTCCCTGGGTCACACCATGCATCAAGTCACAACACTCAAGGAGCTCCTGTAACTTACCAACACCACCAAAGGGTAAGGTCGAGAGGAAGAAATGCATGATGACATCATTTCCAGTAACACCTCCACTGGAGGTTTCCGAGATGACTCTCTTGATTAACTGACAAAATAAAACAAACAAACAAAACATTACAAAGCCCAGAAGAAAACAGACCATGTAACTGAGCAGGACTGGGAGGGGAGATAGGAACCAAGAGGCCACCGTGTTCAGTTTTCTCTGGGTGACAATGCAGACAAGCCCTCTCCATGCAGTGACAACTCAAGAAATGCAGGAAGATTCAGAGGAGGGATGGGAAAGATAGAAACCCAGGAGCTCGCCTCCCCAGCAATATATTGGAAGTAACTAAATTAACCATGAAAGACTACTTAGCACCAAAGAGGAAATTCAGCCTTTTATTCTTCTATTTCACAGTCATGCAAACGCGAAGCATGTCAGCAGAAAACGGGGAGTCCCAAGCAGCTCTAGGGACACTCACAGTCCCCCATGAGCCAAACGCTGCAATTCACAAGCAAAGAGGAGCCAACACAGGCTCTGCAGGGAGCTGTGCCTGGGTCTGACCACGTTTGGGATTGAAATGCATGGAAACGCCTCTGCCAGGGAGCACAGCCCAGACCCACCTTCTTGTTGTTAGAGAAGACATACAGGGCAAGGGGCTTCTCCCGACAGTTGATGAACTCAATGGCTTCATCCACACTCTTCACCGTCAGAATGGGGAGGACTGGTCCAAAGATTTCCTCCTCCATCACCCTGGACTCCGGAGAAACATCAGTGAGGATAGTCGGTGCTGAGGCAAACAGGAGAACAGGAGATGGCATGAGCAGGACAGAAGACGTGGTCCATCACGAGACCTTGTCCTGGGCACTGCCTGCGTGCAACACACACCGAGCAAGCCACAGACACACACTCAGCCCCCAAACGACACTTGCTACCACCTCCCCTCCCCAATAGCTGCCAGAAGCACCTATAAAGCAGGAGGCCTCATCAACCTCTCCCCCGTGAGCGATCTTCTGTCCTTCCAGCAGGCCCAGGATCCTCTTGAAGTGATGCTTGTTGATGATCCTTTCGTAATCCGGAGACGACTTCACATCATCCCCATAGAATTCCTGCCAAAGGGCACAGCAGAACCAAAGTGCTTGACACACCTTCACAACAGGCACAGCTCCAGGGCTACAGCTCCACAACTCAGACCTAGGCTGTAACGGAGACAACTCTCACAGCACGAGGAACTCCACACTCACCTGCAGAGTCGCCTTGATGTTCTCCACCACTTTGCTCTGGATGGATGGGTCGCAGAGGATGTAGTCCGGGGCAATGCAGGTTTGTCCACAGTTCATGTACTTTCCCCATGTTATCCGCCTACGGGGGAAAAGGGAGATGGTTTCTCCATGGTCAGTCCATTACAGCCCCCACAGCCCAGCTGACAATGTCTAAGGAACACCCACAGTCTGGGGACAACGGCCCACCGAGGGCGTGCAACAGTCTGACCTGCAGGCAACGTCCAGGTCACAGTCCTTGTCGATGTAGCAGGGGCTCTTCCCACCCAGCTCCAGGGTGACGGGTGTCAGGTGCTTGGCAGCCGCTGCCATCACAATTTTGCCCACCGCGGAGTTGCCAGTATAAAGGATGTGATCAAACCTCTGCTTCAGCAGCTCTGTTGTCTCAGGTACTCCTCCAGTGACCACGGGGTACAGCTCCTGCGGGGCAAATGAGAGCCTTACAGCTACCTTGACTTAAAGCAAATATACCAAGGGAGCAGCTCTGCATGGGGTAGACTTGCTCGTGAGCTACACTAGGATCTGGACGAAGGATAACGATAACAGGGACAAGCTCCACTCCTTCCCCTGAAATTAAGTTTCGCTTGCTGTATTATGCCACATTAAATAAACAAACTTAAATAAACAGAGGTTGAGGCCAGGGCTGAGTCAGGCTCTGAACCTACTCCCACACAGTAAGACCAAGGGCACACACAAACGCCGGGCTCTCCCGAGAGCTGTCTCCTTGCTTTAGGCCAGGGGTGAGAGCTGAGGAAGCACTAACTCCAACAAGGAAACTGGGCAGTGGGGCCCTGCTGTCAGAGCAACAGCCTCGGTGACAGAGTGCAACAAATGTCTGAACTGCCAGACCAGCGGAGGAGAAACACCATGTCCTGCTGGAGCGTGGTTTAGCAGGACACGAAAACCCGCGCGTACTGCCACTGAGCAAACAGCTCTCGATTCCCAGGAAGAGCCAGGTGCAGCCAGCACCCAACGCAAACTTGTGCTTACGTCGAGGCAACCCAGCACAGCGTCCAGGAGAGCAATTATTGCAGTGAGAAGCACATATACACCTCTTTACGGAGTCGGGAATGCCAAAAGGCTGTCACGTTGCAGCAACATTATGTAGGCACATCAGGTTACGCAAACACAAGAAAAACACGTCAACGCGTCTCTGTGCTCTAACAGTAATTCCTGTACCTCCTGCTTTAGAGAGAGTGGGCAACTGACTTGACTCTAACCTGCGGGAGCCCTTCGAAAGCACGACAGGTATTTCCCCAAGACAATCATATCAGGCACAGGGCCACACTCACCCGGTCGAGGTACTGGGGGAGAAGATCAGCCACCAGCTGAGCTGTGTTCTCGCTGATCTCTGATGGCTTCACCACCACGGCATTGCCTATGAGACAAACCCAGCGTGCCCACTGAGTCCTCACGCTCTTCTCCTGTCTCCCCGCAGCACCCACCCACAGCCCCATGAAGGGCAGGGACTGTGGTGGGTCCCCACCTGCTGCGATGGCCCCGATCAAGGGCTGCATGACCAGGACAAAGGGGTAGTTCCAGGCCCCGATGATCAGCACCACCCCCAGCGGCTCGGGGCGGATGAAGGCCTCGTCCCGCATTGTCAGCAGGTTCTTCTTCACGGGCTGGGGGGCTGCCCAGGAGGGAAGCTTGTCCATAGCCAGGGCCAGCTCCCCCAGCACACCCAGGATCTCATGGCTGTATGCGTTGGGCCCACACTGCAACGACAGGGAGCTTGGAGAGGGGATGGCGAAGGCAGCCGCCTTCTGCACTCACCACGGCAGCCCGGAGAAGCAAGGTAAACTCTGCTGGCTTGAAGTGTTTGCCAGGGCAGTCCCTGGTAGCGCTGCCCCAAGGGATCCCTCTGCCAGAAGATGGTCAGTCCAGGTGCGCGGGGCTCAGTGTCCCACAGAAGCTGAAACCTAACAGCCAGGATCTGCCTTTCTAAGACCAGCTCCTTCTTAGAAATGGTGGCAGCAGACATTAGCAGGCCACAGCGAGAACCAGGACCACAGGGAATATCAGGAAAAAACACCTGGCACGGCAAAGGCAGCCCTTGGCCTTCCCGCTTTCCCTTTAGGGCTCAACAGCGTCCGTGCACGGCAGAATAGAGAAACCTCCCCCCAACTCCGACCTTGTGCAGATCCGCCTTGATGGCTGCCAGG